ATGAGTACAGACGCCTTCCGCTATAGGAAAGAATACATGGTCAATATTTTTAATATTTTTTTTTGAGGGTCGGCCCAGATTTTGGTCATTGATGTTTTTTTTTATTTCTTTAATCTATATTATGAGTTGTGAATCTTTTATGAGTTGTGAATTTTTTTTTTTGTTATTGAGATCTAATTTATTAACCTAATTTATTATGACTTTTAAATTATACGTGGACTTTATCAAATATTAGAATTTGATGTTAATCCAATAGTTCCAACAAAGTCATATTATTATTATTATGTCAATAAATTATGTTAAATTTTTAAGTTCAAATAACTTTAGTTTTTTTTAATGGTAAAAATTATACCACATTACTGATAAAAAATTTGGTGAGGGATCTCCGTCAACATAGAAATTGTTGTGGAAAAATAGATAGTACGTACAGAAGCGCAACACACAGTGATTGGCAGTCAACTTGCCTGGAAAGAAACAACGAAGTAAGAAAAGATTTATCCTAATACGTACGCGCATATATGAGTAGAGGAGCATGGGGATGAGGGGAGACAAAATCAGAACTGTGTTGATAAACCCAAAAAAAACAACACCTGGTCTGATGGGAATCAAATTAGAACAAAAATAGTTTTTTAAGTGGTAGCTAAAAAGGGATCAACTGGAGCCGGCTAATCGAATGAGTCTATTAGCAAACTTCTAAGACCTTGCCTGAGCTGTCTCTCCCTTCTCAAACCTTCAAAACTCACACTGGCAATGTCTATGACCTTCTATCGTCTCTTACCTTCAACCTCCTGATCGTTTCTCTCTATCTTGTTGGCATGGAGTCCACTCATAAGGAAGATTCAATGATCTCCGGCGAGGAAGTTGATCAGCCAGAGCAAGACAACACCGATGGAAGCACCACCACTGGCCGATCCTACGAGTGCGTGTTCTGTAAGAGAGGCTTCACAACTGCACAGGCCTTGGGTGGCCATATGAATATCCATAGGAAAGATAGAGCAAGGAATAAACCTACGATCAATTCAACTAAGCATGAAGAGAATCACAGTCACACAGGACCCATTTTTTACCAGCCGATTTCAAGTTACCCACCTCGTTATTCTTCACCTCATGAAGCTCAGATGAATTATCGGACGTATTTTCCGGCATCCACGTCAAATACAAAGCCCTTGTTCCAAAACCATAATAATAACTCGCATGATCGCAGCCCACAGAGGTCACTATTTGGAGAGGATTGTCGGATGAGCTTGAGTTTGAAGTTTGGTACAGCACATGCAGAAAGTGCAGAAGATGAATTGGATTTGGAGCTTCGGCTTGGCCACAACCCATAGAAATTCATTCGATGAATTTATATGTAGTTTGTTTGCTGATTTTGTACAGATTGTGTGTGTGCCATAGACAAACTTTCCAGAACAACTAGTGCAAAAATGACCATTTTATGTACCTCATATAAAATGGTAATTTTTACATGGGCCTATGTTCGTGGCTATTCTCTTTGGATTTTGGAAGGCAAGAGTGGATGTGGAAAGAGATGATCTACGGTCGGAAGTTCAATGGAGACTTGCAATCCGGTGAGGACTTTTTTGGGTATCTTTTGTTTTCTGCCTCCGAATGTGTATGTAACCCTAGTTTTGTTAGGGTTATCATGATGAATCTTGATGATCTTCTGTGTGTTTCCTTACAGTCTAGTGCAAGTTTTGAACTAAAAGTTTGTCAAAGGTTGTACTTTTTTTCTTTTTCCAGAATTAAATTTCGTATTATATGCAAGTGTAATTGCCTGAAGTACAGGATCAGTTATAGTATTTTTTTCATATTTGAGCTAGCACAAACCCTAATGGAGCAATCTAAGCTTAATGGAAACTCTATATTATATAAGTTCTTCTAGCTTTTGAAACTAAGCCATTAATTACTTAACAGCTAGCATAGTTCTAATAGAAACACAATTGGTGCACCAAAATGCATAACACACTAACTGGTTCAAGCATTGGGAAAAGAAGATTAATTTGCAATATTGTTTGAGGGAGGAGGGTGAGTTTACTGTTTTCAGAGACACTAAATTCTTGTCACGTCTCAGCCTAAATTTCTAAGAAACAAAGTCCTAATCTCATTATTCTCTATATAGTGGTGCAACTTCTTAAACTAAACAATGTTTACCAGATGCACCTCAAAGTTATACTCCAATCAAGCTGGGGAACAATTTTTCTTCCTTCATAGAGTTGCATGCATGGGTGTGATACTAGATACTGAAGTCTATACACATCTTGCTCCAACAATATATTTCCCAGGTCCAAGAAAAGTCTGTAACTCAATTGTTTCCACGACAATATCTCCGAGGTAAAAAAAAAAAAAAAAAACATAGAACAAAGAACTGTTTTTTTTTTTTTTTAATAATGCGTTCAGTGAGATTTTTTTGTGAATGTCAAACTAATACAACTTCGAGAAGATATATGATTTAAGACAATTAATTACACTTGTACTTGTGTTTGTGTGTTCTTGGTTGGAGGTTATGTGAAGCATTTTTACCTTATTAATTAGAACAACGATAGTACAGCTTGTGACCCTGTGATTAATTTAAGTGATGCTTTTTGCCCCCTTCTCAAGAAACCCTTTAAGGGATTTTCATTATTATTATTTTTTTCTTAATTAATTATTCATGCCAGACCTTGACTTGATCTTGCACTGGCCAGAGAATATTAGGCAGGGCGGGTTCAGAATCATGTTTCTTTTGGCCTGCAACGGCTTATTTATGCTTCTGACCAGGCAAGGATAGACCTTGCTTGGCTTCATTGGAATAGCAGGTTGGGCGATGATAATAAGTATGATAAGGAAATAAGTCATGTAGTCCATCTCATTCTCCTAATCTAATCTGAATTTGTTAAGCATTGAATTATCTTTATCGTACTTTTTTTTTCGGAAGTTAAAAATTTCTATTAATCAGAAGGGCAGCTTTCCAAATAAATTATTACGGCTAAATGTATAAAAATTATCACTATATACTTTAATTGTCACTGAGCTGTGACAATATGTGTGTGGCTAAATTATTTAACTATGACATTTAATTGTTGTCACTAAAAGTAAAATTTTTAGCCGCACCATGAAAAATGTCATTAAATGTGAAATTTTTAGCCATCATAATTATTGTAGTAAGTTAACATAATTTTGCCAATAAAATATATTGTATCACCACTAAAAGTCCAATTAAAACCTTACTTTTAGTGATAACAATTAATTGCAACTAAAAGTATATATTTTACCCACAATTAAAATCACCTCTAAAATTTGAAACATGATTTTTTGACAACTTATTGTCGTTACTAATTAATACATTAAAATGAATAAAGAAACTTATCGCATATTTGAAAGAATTTATTTTTTAATATTTGCAAATTTCACATACTTGTTATACTTTAATGAATCAATATATATATATATATATATATATATATATATATATATATATACATACAACTAATGAAAAAAAATCATAATAAACTCTCACTTTCAAAGGTATAATACTAAAATCAAATCATGTGAAAATAATATTTTGATATTAGTATCGTTAAATTGTACGTGTATACGTTATCATCAAAAAATAGGAATGAACAAAAAAATTTGTGATCATATTTTCAAATTGTATCCTAGCAACTAGACAATGATTCTTATTCAAAAGAAAGTAATTGCATAACAATCAAATTTTAACTACATATTCGTTTTTTTGGCAAGTTATTAGATCTTTCGTCTTTAGTATTTGGAGGCGAGCCTTCCAAAGCTGTTTTCAGAGCTTCCATTGGTTTGTACCTGCTACAACTTTAGAATTGATCACTCAAATGCATGTTGTGCGAAGTAATATAATACTCGGAAGTCCGAGGTCAAACCACAAGCAATTGTGAAAATTTAGAACACAAAGAAAAATAAAAGAAAATTGTTTTTAAAAAATTGTTCTATAGATTTTGAAATTAGAAAACAATAAATTTGGTTTTAAAATAATAATTAAAATTACTAAAGCATCAGGGATATCCTTTTAAATCCACACAGTAATTATTAATGATCCAGTTTTCAAATTCAATTGAGAATCAGCTGAGAAGTAATCTCAATCGAAATATTTAGTGGTGATAATATAAAAATATCAAATTTATAATTAATAAATTATCTGAATAAATATAAAAATTTATTTGTAGATCAGAAGCATTCACTGTGCCCGGAATCTGTGATAAATTAAGCTTTCCAACAGGTAAATCTTATTTTATTGCAAATAATAAATCAACTATCTTATGAGAAATTTTAATTAATTAATTCAAGTATGGAATAACCAGTTATTTGACTTGTGGAGAATCTCAAGCATTCGATGTTCGTGGCATAATGAATTAAGAAATTATATAGAGCAAAAACTTTACTAAAAGACAAGAATTAAATTAAAATAATAAGTCATGCATTAAAAAAAATATTGTATCAATAATAAATACCGTGTTTCATTGAAAGTATCTCTTCTATCTTTAGTTGGGCTTTTAACAAGTCATAAAAATAGAACAAAAACTAAAAAAGGAAAGATGATAAGAGAATAATAATCATAATCATCCTCTCAATAGATGATAACCTTTATTTCTACTAAAATAAATCCTAGGCATGAATAAAAGATATAAAGTTGGATTTGGAAGAATTCATTTCCAAAAAGTTCTTAGGTATAGGTAGAAGATATAAGGTTGGATCGGGAAGAATTCTTTTTCAAAAAGAAGTCTTTTGAAATTAAATTCCGTGCATAAAATCTTAGAGCCGCGGGTATAAAATCTGTCTAGACTTTGAACTTGAATTTCACATATTTAAAGACCGATTCATGAAATTTTCGTGAAATATACTTTTGCAAACCTTGAAATCTTCTTTCCAATCCCATAAAAATCAGGTCAATCTAATATCAGAGTCAAAATTTATGACTAAAAAACTGAAAATATGTCAAATTCTTATCTTCTAAGATACTTTCTTATTCCAACTTTAAATTAGTTTTCTTCTAACTGAACTCTTATAAGCATTACATTGCCACCTTATCTTCAAATCCTCCTATCTTAATATTGATTCTTCAATTCTTACCAATTATGATTCTTCCTCTAGTGATTAATTCACTTGTCTTATTCATTATTACTTTAAATCAACCAATTTACCTGCAAAATAAATCAAACAATTAGAAAAAGTATCAAACTAGAAAATCAATTAATCTAACACATTTAATCACAAATAATATGCAATTAACCAATCATTAGACATAATAAAATAGCACTTTTAATGGTTAATCAGTACCTCACATAAATTACCCAATATTAATAGAAATTCATTGAAGAAAATCAAGAGAAGACATATTGGAGATGATTCAAATATATATTAAGATTGTATAACTAGTTTGCTTAATGTAAATATATTATACCGGCCAATAGAATTTCTAATCTACCAGGGTGTTCCAGTGACAGAGGCAGAGAGCCTTATGAAATTGTGAGCATATCAGTCTGCTTGAGTAAGTAAAATGTACAAATGCAAATAAGCATACAAGTCTACTTGATCATAGACAAATGCAAACAGGCATCAAAGATTGACTCTAACAGTTCTGGAATTCCATTTTCAATTTTTCGTAAATCAAACAGAAAACAGAAACAATACCAAGAATATGATCAACACCGTAAATAAAGCGTTCAACCCATAAAAGTAAGATTACTAACCCATGAAATAGAACTTTTCCAATTTAAGAGATCTAACTCTATTACAATGAAAAGAGGTAAGAATTTGCCCCTACTCTTTCATTTGCGAAAAAAATGTGGTGAGCTGAGTTTGAAGCACGACATGCACCTGTGTTTGTATCTCAACATGCATATTGGACTCTAGTCACGAAGCCAAATCACTATTTTCCCTCTCCAACGACTCCCAATGCATCCTATTTGTTTCAGCTTGCCTCTTCAATTCCTCATTCTCCTTCTCTAGTTGTGCACGGATACGTTGTCCAGCAGTAGATGTTGTGGGCTTTGGACCAGCCCCATGATCACGTATATATCCTGATTTTTTCGAACCGAGCATTGCTTCAAACCTTTGATCCTCAATCATGGGGGTAGCTCCTTCCTCCATTGATTGAGCCTCTAGCCTCTTAAGGTTGCTCTACATTTGGAAAGATAAAAATCTATCAATTTAGCATTATGTAAGAGGATATTTTAAGGAAATGGAGAAGGATAGGATAACTTACATAGACTTCTCCCGATCTCCTGCTAGCCCAAGCATTCCTCCTCTTCATACTAAACTTGGTTATTAACCACAGTTCCATACAGTTAGGCTCCTCTCCAGTCTCGGGATCACGCTATCATGCATTAAACATTAATAGAAAAAATTTACATAAATATGCATGTATACTTGTATATAATTAATCACATAAGTGAAATATATATGTAAAAACAACGCATGCTATCGTAACGAATTCGAGCAAAACTCTTCGTCCTTGCAATATGACCAATGTCTTGTTTTGCTCGATTCTCCTTGTTTCTTTCGCTCATTTTCTGCATTCAAGAATTAATAGCAAGTTTCAAGCTATTGTGGTGACCACTGAAGAGTTCGAAACATGCATGCATACTTAAATGACTCCTGGACTGTTTAACCACTAAAACGTGAAAGTGAAAGACCTTGTTGCTTGGTGACTTGGCAGATAACAAACACCAACACAGTCCAATCTAAGAAATAACAGTAGCCATAATTAATTAATACACAAGCAGTCCAACACAGTTCAAATCGACAAGCAGCTTCATTCAGGTACATTATACAACACTTAGATATATATAGACCACTCCTAACGGCTCACAATAACAGAATTTAAAGACCAGTTGTTAATAATTCATTATAATCAATGTTGAACAATGTTAAGGTCCTCATACCCAAAATTTAAAATTCCTAAACAACAACAAAGTTTCAGTGTGCATACCTTGAAGTCCACAGATCCAAAATAACCAATAAGAGTAACCCAGCCATTCGGGCTCACATATGGTGGACAATTTTGAAGTCTAATAAATTTGATTTTTTAACACATATAAAAGACCAAAAATATAATTAAAAAACAATTCCATACCTTATGCTCTAACTTCTAGGGTTCTAAGGTTCAAGACACCCATATTCAAAGTGTTATCAATCATTATCACATTGGTTTGCTACTAGCTCAAGTCCTCTTATTTTGAGACTATCAGAAGTTCCAATTGTATTTCCTAAACTGTTAGATATCTATAAGGATTCATAATGGGATTTTCACAATGTTTCTCCATGGCTTGATGAGCAACTGAAATAGGAAATTAGATTGCATGTTAGTACTTTTTTAGTGAGTGAGGAAATCAAACTGCATGTTAGTACTTTTTCAGTTAATGAAAATACTGGTTGCATACGATCAAAGGCAGCTTAGACTTTTGCACAAAATGGATGCTTTCACATGATGAACTCCATTTTTCAGATTTTGTTTTTAAAATTCTAAAGATAGGATAATCATGTAACAACATGCATTTTCTTATTAAACAGAACTTTCAGTTTACAAAATGTTTGTTAAGGATCGAATCCACCAAAGACTAAAAAGAGGGGGAAAAAACCAAAAAGAAAAGAAAAAAGAAGTAAAACCTGCGTGAAATTGTTCTCTAGTTGAGCTGGTTGACGTTGCAACACTCAAACCTTGAGTTGGTTGGACAATATAGTTAGCCAAGAATACATCTCTGAATTTGCTGACATTGCTATCTAGCTAGCTACAATAACAAACACAAAAAACAAATTTGCAATTTAGGGATCTGGTTGCAGAAACTTAATTCGAATAAAAGGAAATTTCTGAATTATCTGCCAAACACAAATCAATGCTCGATGGAAAATGGAGAAACAAATCAGAAAGTAGAGAGAGGAGCTTATGAAGGCAATTCGTAATACTCCATTATTCCACACATAAGCTGAAAATTGCAATTGAAGAAAATCAGTTGCTGAATAGATTCATCTATAATCACTGAGAGGTTGAGAGATCATCATTGATATTTTGCGTGCACAAAGATAGAACAAGTATATGCGTGACAATCGATGGTGACACCTTAATCTTCTTCTCGATAATTTTCAAAATAAGCTCAGCCTTTTCAACAACCAGGGTAGTAGTGGCGTGGAGATGTCTTCGAGGAAGTCTTCAAACTAGTGGGAATCGTGACGGCGAAGGAGTTGAGAGATCGACGATCGGGGGAGAGAGAGAGAGAGAGACGGTGTGAGTAATTTTATGGAAAAGATTTAACACGTGAAGAGACGACATTTTTTGATGAAACGCCCAAATTTCTTATAGTGTACTAAAATTGACATTTAGTGGCAAAAGAAAAAAAAATTGTAGCTTAAAACAGGGCATAATTGTTGCAACTTAAAAATGTTATCACTAAAATTTATATTATTAGTGACTAAATTTAAATTATTGTCACTAAATATTTGGACTTAGTGATGAATTAGTAATATATTTTTGTTGCAACATTTAAATTGTCACTAATTAGATTCATTATTATATCTTTAGTTTCACCACTAATTATATATCTTTAGTGGTGACAAATAATTAAGGCAACTAAATAATTTCAATATCATACTTTCAATGGCAATAATAATTTTTTTTCAGTAAACATATTCATTCAGTAACAATATTTGTAGTTACAATCTAAATCTAGCTGCTAAAAGTGATTTTTTTTGTAATGTGCCTATTGTAAGCAAAAGAAACCATAAACAATTGAGCATCCTTGTAACCACCACTTTAACAACATCTAAGTTTGTGCCATCGGACCCCTGGACTAGAAGTTTGTTGCCATTCCGATAAGAAAGAGAACTTTCCATTTGCAGCAAGAAGCCATCTAAGTTGGAATAAAACAGTCATTTGGAAGGCTCCACACTTATGCCAAGTGCTAGTTCTGAGGAGAGTTTTTGGAACTTCGTAGAAAAGCCAGCACGGCTCTCATAGTAAGTCTCATACTCCAAATTAAGGAATTACCATCCATGAACTGGTTGGCAAAGATCATGTTCTGATGTTTACGGTAAACAAAATAAAATTTATGAATAAATAAGATCACAACTCGCAAACCACATATATCAACATGTATCTCATATACACTGTGTAGGTTGGCTAACATGAATTTACGCATTGAGAATATTTTGGCTCGTACTCATACACCAAATCAACAATACAATTTTTGCTAGAATGAACCGTTTTCAAGAAGCGTGTGTACCGACGCATCGACATTGACATAACCTTTCAAGAATAGTATACTAACCCTTTTCCTAAATCACCGTGTCGCGACTGAATAATGGTTTGATCCTCGTAAGACACCAACCTCACTACGAGTGTTAGGAATCGTTCAAACCTCTCAAGGTAAGAAATTCATATAACCCCTTTACGATACAAGGTTGATTGCAACCTACGTTAATCACACCCACTAATACATGAGATACTTTTCACAATTTTTCAATAAAATCCAACAACAATCAAGAGTCATGGTCCCATAACCTTTCAAAAGGAACAATTCAAGAAAACGTACAAAAAAACTTCAAGAAACATACTTGCAATGATCATAACCAAACTTGGGATTTTAGAAATCAAGAACATGTGAGCTTTGATATAAAACATGGATAAATTTGATAATAACTCAAGAACTAGGGTTTTTTTTGTTAAAGAATGGTTGAATCGTGGATATAAGTCATTTATATTCGAGAAACGATTCACACACACACACACACACTCACACACACACATATATATAAGAATTGAAAGCATATAAATAATAATCCTAACCTCAATCTTGAGTTGGAGAAAGAAACTCTACCTTTAATCTAATGTTTGGTGAAACCCTAAAGCTTGATCCATATCCTACTCGAAATCCTTTTGAATCCTTGTGTTTTATCATTCTCTATCTCTCTCTAGGGTTGCCTAAGGTTGAAAAATGATAAAATATGGCTAAAGGGACGTTTTTAAGGTATTTATAGGCTTAACATCAGAACAGTCATCGCGACTTGATCACTGTCAACTTCGCATGTGCCTCGTTTGAATGTAAGTGGCTTTCAAACATTCCTTACTTCTAATATCTCGATTTATGTCAAAAACCAAATTATTGCAGCTAAGTCCCCTTCTAACGTGATTTGAGTTCAAACATACACCCCATTTTTTGTCTTTGTTTCCAATACAATTTTTCCCTACTTAGAAGTCTATTAATAAAATTCTCATGAAATGCATTTTTATAGCCCTTGAAATCTACTTTCTACTATCCAAAAATTAGCTCCATTTGATTTCAGTAGAAAAGGTTATGATGAAAATAATCCAGTAGTGTATAATTCCATTCTTACTAAAATCCCACAAAATATGCAAATAAGATTCAAAACTCTCAGTGGCTTCTAATACAACATATACAACCCATCTTTTAATCATTAGATATATACATGCACACCATATTATTATAAATATATGTACAAACCCCGCTGATCACTCTATGTTTACACTTCATGCCCAACACCATCTTGTCGTCATTTTTCTTTATGTCGACGACATGATAATCACTATCAACAATAATGATCTTTTGAGTGACTTAATTACCCAACTTAGTCATGAATTTTCCATGAAATATCTTGAACCTTTCCACTTCTTCTTAGGTGTGGAAACCCTTTCTTCCCTAGTTGGTGTCTTTTTCTCACAGGCTAAATATGTCTGTGACCTACTTGGTCGAGCCTCTATGCTTGACTGTAAACCCATTGTTATACCCATGCCTGTTAATCACAACCTGCCCACTATTGGAGTTCCTCTTAAAGATCCCTCATCCTTTCGAAGTATCGTTGGTCACTCACACGCGCCTGATATTGCATTTTTCGTCAACTTCGTTTGCCAACAAATGTATGCCGCTACAATTAACCACCTTAAAGTTCTTAAACGAATCCTGCGATATATAAAAGGAACACTTTATCTGGTCTATTTCTCAATGCGAACAGCCCACTTGAGTTAATTGGATACAATGATGCCGATTGGGCTGACTGCCCGGATACTCGATGCTATACTACCGGCTACACTATTTTCCTTGGTACCAACTGCATCTACTGGAGCTCCAAAAAACAACCCACTATTGCTCATTCGAGTGTCGAGGCCAAATATTGTGCCTTTGCCTATGCCGCTACGGGCATGACTTGGATCATTTACCTTATACAAGACTAGTAATTGTTCGTGCCTGAAGGCACGGCGTAACGAAAAATTAGATTAAAATTCACCATACTATCACAATAATTAATTCATACCCAATCTTCAACAAATATCCAACCACCAAAACATCAAGCTAGTCCCTACTAATTTCAAGAAATTTTGGCAGAGTTTCCTTTAAAAATAGAAGCCCAGAAAAATCTGAACCTATCTACAAAACTTACAATCGTCAATACATACCCAACCACCAAAACAACCATCATTCCATACCCAAACTCATCATAACCATGTATAATTAGTTAATTTTACAAATGACGGAACACAAAAAATACACACATACACAAATAGAGAAACAACTTCATCTTCTTTATAGCTTACACCAAGTATCCTTCAATGTATACTTGAAAATATTTGAAATATAAAAATTGTCGAAATATGTGAGGCAAAATAAAACAATTGTAAATCCAAAACATAAAATCCCTAAATTTTTTGTTAGTTGGATTCAACAAAATTATTGTTATCAATTCCATTACCCTGAATTATCTAAAAAATAAATGAGCACACACATTTATATGTAGTGGGGGTGATTTAGATTGATATAGGTAAAAATTTAGAGAGATTGTAACAAATTATCAATTTATTTAGGAAAAGATATAGAGGAATGTAGAGAAAGTCTTACAATCAAATTAGTCTTTCTCAGTAGCATTTCAACAAAGGGTTCATTTGCCTAATGATTTCAATCATAAATCTTTATTGGTGGCAGTATAATAGTGTGTGCGTTTGATTTGCGAGTGTTTGATTGATAACAGTTGTGTGTGTGTGTGTTTATGCATGTATTGTGTGTTGTGTGTCTGCATGAGAAGTAGAGAAATATAGAGATCCTCAGTAAGAGAGGCTTTTACACCTAGACAATTGTTTGATCAGTGGTGGGTTAGTCATTGTCAAAGGTGGACAGGTCGATACTGGATTTCAGATCGTTTGAGTTTTCTCAGAGATAATGTCACTTTTCAATAACTCTCATGTCCTCGTATTAATACGAGCGCACTTTGCTCAACAGGGGGAATGCACAATCACCTAAATTACAAACATAAACAAGAAAATTAACACAATATATATATTATAGGAATAGTAAAGTTATTTTGATGCAGTGACGTTAAAGTAGATTTACCTGATTACACTAGAAGAAGGACACTAATACGATTCGAAGATGTGCATCTAAATAATGCCACATAAAGGTGTCCATGACTAAAAATAGGTGTCCACGACTAAAAATAGGTGTCCACAAATCAATCACAACAAACTTGACAGATTGTCCTTGGACTTTATTGATTATCATAGTATAAGTTAACCGGACAGAAAATTAACATCTTGTCATTCGAAAAGGCAAGTCTAAAGATGTTGGTGTCAATGATATTCTCGAAATAAAGACTAAATTGTCAATTTTATCTCCATTTAATATTTGAGCTTCAATTACCCTTGAGACACATCTAACAACCATCAATTGTGTGTCATTACAAAGTCCATCTTTTAG